TTTTTTATAAAAATAACTACAAAACAGGTATTTCAGTAATGCCTAGTATGATCATCATATGCTGCATTTCATAGATTTCTATCTAGTTTATTATTCAAGTCTGACCAAAACTGTGTCAAATGTTACAGTTCTTTCTTACCATGAAAGTTAATTAAGTATTAGTAATTAAGTGTTCATGATTTGATGTCCAGAAATCAAGCTTTCATTTATCTTAAACTTTCTTGGAGAACCAAAGGTGCAAAGTTGTGATTTTCAAGAATCAAACAGAAGAGACAGATTAGCCAAATCAGAATGGTGAAAAAATGAATTATACTGTGAGGAGGAAAAGAGGCTGCATCACTGAAACACACCTTTGCATGCTCAGCTGGAAGCGTGGAAAACATGTCACAATTCACAAACAGATTTCTCAACTCAAAAAAAAAAAAAAAAGTATTTGCATTAACAAACTAGCTAACTTACTAAATGACATTTCAAGTAAACAGTCTATTTTCACATAAACTGAAATTCATTAACCTACAAATTACCACAATAAAATATTTTAAAAGGACACTGGTAAAGCTTGTCTCAAAGTTTTATATTTTTCTGATGCCTATCTGTTAATACATGTTCCCTCATTTATACGTCTTTCAAGCTGCCATCAAAGCAAATGCTTGGTGACCCTAAAAGCCATGCAGAGATACTAACGACACAAAACCTTCGTTCAGTCTTTCAACATCACATTGTCAACAACAGTATTTTAATTATAAATACATAAGTCCTTTAAAACAACGGTTTTCCTTTCCTAACAATAATTTTCTGCTCTTCTGATACTAGCTCAGTTACCCAAGGCAACAGGAGCGGACAGATGATGTGCTCTGCTAGTCTGTCTGTCCTGCCCTAATGCGTTCTGAACAGCTGGGCGAACGCACCATGCCAGAGAAAAGACGAGGAACACGGACGCTTCCCACAGAACTGCTTAATCTCAGTTTACTGAATGGAAGCGAGACCCCCCCGTCCGTCCCCCCGAAACAAGAGCTTCCACTGAGGGAAAGACGGCAATCGCAGCTGAGCTCCAAGCCGGTCAGTAAGCATTCAGAGAATCAAACACCCTTGGTTGTATTTTCCTCCCTGTAACCTCAAGCAGCTGGGGGAAGGGCTGGTGGCCCATCACTAGCTCTGCCCACATGCTTTAAAGTACCACTGGAAACACAACGAAAAGATCAGACTGGTCAGCAGGTTTCTGATCTTTTTACCACTCATATGGCAACAACACAAAAGCAAGTAGCAAGGGTCACTTCTACAGGCTTTGCTGCACTGCAGATCATTGTACAAAAATAGCACAACTCAAATAGCAATGGCCTAAAACCAGATGTTGGTATTTTCCTCTTTCTCTCCTGCCCTTTCCCTTAAAATCTGATACACAAATGTACTTAAACATGCATTTAAGATTATAGTTATGCTGCAGATTTTGCCAGGGCTGAACCCAGGGCTTCAACCACGGGATTTCATAATCTGCTGTTGTTGGGCCGTAAATAAAGCAAAGGCCGTCGGAGCTGACGGGTGAGGAACAGCTTCGTGCAGCTGCCCGACTTCACGCCGAAGGTCGCTGCCTCCGCACGGAGACAGGGGCCTTCACCAGCGCTGCGCCCACGGCAGCGGGACCACCGCAGCCTTCAACGCCGCTGCCATCCCTGCCCCGTGCTAACAAATGAGTATGTTAGCACTCCCTAACTTGCTCCAGGAACAACCAGAGGTATTATCAGAAATCAGAAGGAGATACACATATCTGAGCCCAAATTCCTGTATGATTTCTTTCTTCTTTCATCCATATTGCATGCAGGACGAAACCCAGGCTTCACTAAAAGGCCTGGATCTCCTTTGCCATGAGGCTACCCAAGTGATTCGAGATGCAAGCCTGAAGACCTACCTAAATTCCTACCTTTAAATTAATGCCCATGTGGTTTTTATTTGGTGGAAGACCCTAGACAGAACAGCCAACAACTTAAGAATATTTTGCAACCCAAATAAAAATATGCTAAAACATTTCTTCAACCAGTAACAGAGAAATTTCAAAAAGCTTCCTGATTCTAGCTTAAAATAAAACAAATATTTTATTTAGAAGTATATGGGCGTTTGAAGTCTTCAGAGTTTGCCAAACTATTCAATTTCTCATACTCAGGCACAGAGATTAAATCTCATCAGGGCTGAGATGATCACAGGAAGAACCTGGCACGGGCTGCTCCCTTTCATATGCCCTCGTGTTTTTTCTGCCAAAAATGAGTACATCTGATCACAAAAGCTAACTACTATACATTTTTCATTTAAAGGCAACGACCTTCTCTGCTCCGCTGTGTCGTACAACGTTTTATTCTCATTGTGTAGTACCAAATTATTTTAGTTAGCAGTATCAGAGAGCTAGTAATTACAATTGACCATTTGGATCCATTTGACCTGACAGAGCTGCTGTGTGTTGCATGAAATACTCTAAGTTTACAGATACATAATTCTGTCTCTAATCACACCAGTAAAGTGATAACCTAGCAGGTACAGAGATGTACTCAGTCTCTAGCCAAAATGACAAAATTTGAGGTGCAGGAGCATAGCGTGCACCTGTGCAAAACTATCCCCCAACAACTACCTGGAATACACAGCATTTTTTGGTTTCTGTTACTCTGAATGTGAACTCCAGTTCTTTCACTGCTAACAGAAACACATTCCTGAAATGCAGCGAGAAAATTACAGTTTCAGGGTGCATAAACCTCAGGCAAGAATCCTGTGAACTATTTTTACTATGCAAACAATTATATCAACTGTCAACTTCATCAAGTGACCCTACTGCTAAACACTGTACTGCTACCAATACACAGCAGCAGGAGCAAGCACACAATAAATCTATTTGAAAATCAAATTTGTTTGATGCACATTCCTCCTGAGTTATTTCAGAATGCAAAAACCTCAAAAATATTCATATATAAGCATTTTAATCAACATAGCCAAAGTTCGTTAACCTTATCATTACGTTTGAAGTTGATATTTCAGAGCACAGTCTTACACTCCGCATACTTCAGAACTGATCAGACTGTGTGTGCAGAAGGAACACCTGGGTATTTTAACCAACCAGACAAATGGCTTTGCAATAGGAACAAAACTATTTTTTAATTAAACAGCAAAACATACTGTCAGAAGTTATTTTCATGAGTTATTTTTCCATAAAGAATATACTGTGTGCCAATACTGCACAAAAGCAATTCCTATGATCCTTGAAGTTAACTGTTCAACTGAGGAAATTCAACTGATTTTTTTACTGGCAAATTTAGTTTCTCAAAGCAACAGTGGACAGAGTAAACAGTAAATGACTACAATTTCTCCAGTTACAAAACTCCAATAAGCCATATCCACCTCTATGAGCATAAAAGCAAAATACCTGCATTTATATATTTCTATAAATTTATATATGTATGTACTTATATCTGCAAAATACCTCCTTTTATTATTTTATATATTTATAGCTTAGAATAAGATCTCAACTGAAAGACATTTGCCATGTTGATTTGGAAAGACTCAAAGTGCATGCTTAAAAATTAAGAGTATATTTTCTTAACCAAATATGATGTCGGACACAGTGTCGAATCGAGAGCTCTGTTTCTAATATAAAATAATGAAGAAATCTTTTTCAACAGAGCAAAAGTAATGTAACAGCTTTTTCTTTCTCACCCACTCCTAGCACACTGCAATCTGATCAATTTTAGTTGGTTTTTTTTGAACTCCAGAAAGGTCCTCAACTTGTATTTTTAGATTTTATCCTCAAAGTGCTTCTCTATAATGTCCTTACATAAGCAACCAGTGGTTGAGCTCTTAAAGTAACATACTTACTCTGATTACTTATTTTAAAGTTTCTTGAAGCGTCATGATACTGCCAGGGAAAAATCACACTTGTATCAAGTAACTTCAGAGTACCATATTTTGTATCATCATGTACAGGCTCTTATTTGAATTCCGGTATTTGTCAGAGAAGTACCATACCAACAATCACACATTTTTAAAATTCCAGTTCAACAACAACTGAAAAAACAGTTTGTATCATTGACATTGTAGCATAAACATATTCTGCTCATTCGTATGTCTCCCATTTTCCTTTTATCCGAAAAAAAAAAAAAAAAAAAAAAAAAAAAAAGAAAATCTATCTTTTAAAACTACACAGCTCAACTGGCAAATTAACAATGTAAAACAGTTGGGGAAAAAAAAAGACTTTATCAAAATAGAAGGGGTTTATAGCAACAAGTAAATTCTTACACAAGTACTGAGATAAAATCAGCTTCTGTATATAAAACAACTGAAGTCAAATTGAGTTTCACTACTGAGTAAGATAAAATAATTTTCTAAAATCATCCCCAAAGTGTTGATCATTACAGGAACAGGACTGGGTTTAGTGAAAATTGTTCCAACTGAAGTCCCAGTACTCACTTTCTCCACAAGCTGTTTTGGCTCAGTGTTTTAACACTATTTTAATCTTCTTAGATATCTCTTTAAAAATAAGTTTGAAAAAGATTTCTACTTAAACACAAACAATCAGAAAGTAGATTTTTGCTATGAGTCCCTTCCAATCACTTCATTTTCCTATTGCCATAAGACAACTTTTCAACAAAAGGCAGAAATAAAAAGACAATTCAGGATAAGCTTCCATTACATTTTCTCACAGTATCTTGAGTCATACACCTACTTTGCTCTTGAAGGCCCAGGAAGAAAAAAGGAAAGGAAAAGATTTGGACGTTTACACAATAAAAGAAAAATCCTTGCTGAGTTTAGGTTGGTTTGCAAAATTCATTTTTGGTCCACTGACACACTATTACGGAAAACAAAAGATGAAGTAAGTACACCTACTTCAGAATAATTATTCATTTGTATTAACACAAAAAGTTGCAAAGAAAAACATGACTAACTTCAGAGAGCAGCAGTCCTATGACTGCCAGTTGAAACCACCCTGCAGAAGCCAGGTTACTCAATACCATATGAAGCCATACCTTTTTATCATACACATCTTGCCAGTTTACTCCAGCAAAGAAACTATGACGCATGATTTCTTTTGCATCATCTGGGCCTCCACCAAGCCTAAAGAGAGTGGGGAAAAAAATCATATTAAACAAGTGTCACTCTTAAAGGGAGATTAGGTAATTGTAACGGTTGGAAAAGTGACCATTTGCTTTTGACTATCTGGGAACAGTTCTCACCCCTTTAATGTGCAATTCTCTACCTTTTTAATATGAATTCAGGTGATCTTGAGAGAAAATGTGATGGTAGAAGTATCCATGCCACAGTCTATTCTATTTGATTAATCCAACTACAGCATTCGTTACTGTCTGTGATAGGCTTTTTTAATAACTCATTCATGTTAAAAACATACGTAAGTTTCATTGTCTTGAAAGACCAACTCATGTTCTGGCACTACTAAAAACCCAAATGAACCCAACAATGCTGGCATCAAATTTTGCCAAGGAGGTGCCAGGCACTGCATTGGTAATGTCTCACACATCATCTTTACACAGTGTTTGCTGCTGTTGCATCTGGGTGCTGTAACAATTAACCAATTATCATAAAATAGTCTCAATCTGAGTCACTTAGTATAAATTAATAAATTGTAGGCCTGCTGAGAAGGTTATTTAAAGGCCATTGTAAATAACCACACTATTCACTGGGGCCCATAGTGTGCCAAAGCCAGACTCTGGCAAATCACCTTAGGAAGTGAATTCCACCTACTTTGGGTGAACTTGTCCAAGGCGATTTGAGCTCACAGAAGTGGTCACTGCTGCCAAAAGAGGAAGGTCCCCCCCCGCCCATACCTCTCCCCATTCACTTGCATCTACACTATCATTCCCACTGACGACTGTGGACTAAGTCAGCTCACTAACTTGGAAGAAAACTAACCCTGCAATAAGAAAACGAGAAAGAACTGGCTGTTTTTTGTTGCATTAGCAATTCAAATTTGACTCAACAAGTTCAGTGAGCTCCTTTGAGCTGCCGCTGTTGGTGGAGAAAGAACCACGCATCCACTGAAAGGAACCTCTGCCCCTTTCAACAGCATGTGGGCTTTCAGGACTCCTCAGCTCTCACCTAACTTCTTCCTGAGAGTGGCTGTCCTACTGGTCTAACAGAAAGAAGGTGCAACAGAAAAAAATCTAATTGTAACTGAACAAGCAGCCCACACATGTTAAACATTGACAAGAAGAGTGATGCAAGCAGGCTGTGTTTCATTAAAAGGAACTACTAAAGATACAAAGACAAATTTTAAAAGTAACCTTTTAAGTAAGATAAATTCCTCTCTATAGCGTTTACTGCAAGGAGCAATAATTCCAACCAAGCAAAAATATCTGTCTCGGTATTACCCTGCTGCCCAATTACAAAAATATTCTGGACTACAACCTCAGTCTTGCAGTAGCTGGGTGTAAAGTTATTCTCCTTCCCAAGCTGTATTCCTCTCTATTTCTCAACTACTCACTGTAAAATTCTCTAAAGCTCTGCTAAGCATCCCCATTAGCCTGCTGTCTCCAGACTTCTCTCAGTATCTTCCCAGGCAGCTGCTCAGAGAAAAGCCGAGTTGCAGTTAACCTCTGTGCTCCCACCCTGTTTAGCGTTAGCTAGCACCAGAACTGGAATATGAATAAGCTTGTAAATGTAAGTCTGTAATAAACACCACTGTTGCAAAGATTAATTACAAGAAAGTACCTTTTCAATTGGAAAGGTTAATATATTTCACGGGTCAGATTGTTTGGATGTTAAAATGCTTTAGGAGTTGCTGCAGGAACAAATTTTGACTTTCCATGTCTTTGGTCGGTCGGTCACAGTTTGCTTTTATTGCACACAGCAAACTCCATTGAACGGGCACTGCCGGGCAGCAGCAGAAAGCTGAGTGCTTGTGCCGGGCTGCCTGCAGGCAGGTCCCTCCGAGGGACACGGCAACCAGTCCTGCCCCGAGTGCCAGTGAGCAATGCCAACTGCTGGAAACTTCTTCAGACACGGAGGGTGAAGGAGGCCTAGAGAAGAGGGACAGACAGGCAGAAGAATGCCCGCAGCCCTAAAACAGGCCAAGAGGCTCAGAAGAATCTACAGAACAATCTCCCTGATTTACAGAGACAGATTTGTTTTAGAACCAGAGGGGACTGGGCACTGCCAGTCCAGTGCAGGAGCCACTGGAAAATGTCTCTCCTAGGCAGCAAGCCCAGAGGGAAAAGTCCACCACAAAAAGGCACAAGCAGCAGCTGGGTGATACTTGTTTTCAAACCACTGTGTTTAAATTTCACCCAGATGATTTATTCTTTAACAAGTTGCTAGTTTACACAGTCTAAAATGTGATCTATTTACATGCCCTAGTAACATTTAGCTGTAGCTGTCTATATACATCTTCTGGCACGATCACTTCCAAGAAAAAGCAGTGTAGTTCCCATGGGACGCTACAGCCAACCCAGGGCTAAGCCATACTCTGCAAAACGATTTAGAGCTTTCCCTTTCTTCCAGCACACAATCTAAACCTGAAAAGATCTCTATGCTTGCTGTGAATGATTAAAAAAGTGTTCTCTTCCACATGCTTTTTCCCTTTTTGCTCGTTAAACGCACTTTGTGTATTGTTGCTGTATTGAAAAAGTGGAAATCTGAGACAGTATGGCTGCATATGGCCCTTTCCTGTGACTGACAGGTCCGTCAGCCAGGAAGACCAGGCAGCACTGGCCTATTTTTACATCACCCAGTCTAATATAAGTATTAATTATGCCTATATACCCAGGTAATTTCTCTTACCGTTTATTTGGATCCTTTATCAGTAGGCCTGATAGTAATGATTTTGCATCTGCAGACAGAGTTCGAGGAAATTTTATGTCCTCCATTAGTATCAGTTCAAATAGTTTCTCATGATCCTGGTTGTAGAACGGTAATCTTCCACACATCATTTCATACATGACAACTCCTAATCCCCACCAGTCCACTGCGCGGCCATAGTCATTATCTTCCAACACCTAAGACAGAAACCAAAGCCAGCTGTAAGACATGCACTCTTTCAGACACGACCATTTCAGTCTGTGGGATGCATCTCTCTGTGAACGTGTTGCCAAGACTTTATTTTCACAGCGTGCTACAAGGACTCCCAGAACCTGGCTCAATACACGCAGCTGCAGTACTGACCCACACACCCCAGCTCACTGAAATTCCAGCCATACTGGGGACCGCACTGCTAAAGGCAAAATAAAAAATTGAGAATGACCTGCTCAGAATTATCACGACTGCCTTTTCCCCTTTCCTATGTCCTCTACCATCCCATTTACAGGGTAGAGAGCTTTAGGAATAGACACTTTGTCTACGGGCACTACTGTCTTGGTTAGCATTCTTCTGGGAGAAGAAGTGAAGCATCTCGCTGCTCAGTCACTTCCTCGCTCCTTACCCCACCTGTAAGAATAAAGCCTCAAATTTAGAAACTTCTTAGCACTCCCATGACAAGCTTAGCTTCTTTATGATCTTTGTTTATATTAGAAGTCCTCTGTGCTTTTCTCCTGGCAGTTTCACTATGTTCCATGAAATACTCCAAACAGCTGAACTGTGCCAATGCAAAGAAATGTAACAATGTTTATATCATACTATACTTATTATGATACTATGTTTATATGATATTATATGATCACAGAAATACACAATTTGTTAACATAATGTCTCCAATGTTGTGTACCTAAAAAGAACCTACCCTGCAGCCCTTCTCCCAGCAGCCCCAGAGAACTGCAATAAGGAATCTAAGCAGTGTGTCTTGACCTTAACACACCTTCAATTGTAGAAAGGCAGACGACATAACAGCAGCATACACTCATAATGAAACCATAAGCAATAAGGAAAATTAAGGCTACTGAATATATACATACATAATTCCAATTTCCGTGAATTTCTAAAAGATCATGCCCTTTCACTCAAAAAAGATTCAGCAGTTAGAAGTTAATAAAAGGTAATACAGTATGTGCCAAACTGCCAATATTCGCTGTAGAAAGATCTATTGAAGAGACAAAAACCTTAAAACAAGAAATTAGACTTAAATAATAAACAATTAGTAAGATCAAACAAATGCAACTAATACAGCTGGACTATATTTGTAAAGAAACAAGGAATTCTTTATAGAGAATTGTTTCTGTATCATTAAAAGGCAGATTCTGAAAGGCAGTACATATGACTGATTGTTTTAAAAAAATCAACAAAGTAATCCGTAGAAAACCAAATCCTTTTTACAACACACAGACACATGCAATCACCACCACAAAGAGCTCACCCAGACTCAAACTGTAAGTAGACACAGAGGAACAGTCATTTAGATATATAGTAGTGAAAATCTGGTGATGCGTAGGAAAGCCTTCAGGCTTTGATGAATAAGACAGCCTCTAACAGATCAGAAATAACATTTTCCATGAGTACATTATCCTGTGATTGTCTAAAAAGTGTAAGATGACTTCCAATACTGTTCTCTGAAGCAAGTCCTCGCCCATCTGGGGACACTAAGCGGCCGCGACCCCACCATAGGACACACACACTACCCCAGCCAGCCCTAACGAGGGGTGTCACCTCCTTTATCCACCTCTCCTTTTTCTCCCCCAGTAAACACAACCCTGCTCTGAAGTATCAGGTAGCTGCTATTAGTAGAAACAAAATGCAGTCTGATCCAGTATGGCAGTTTTGACAATCCCACAGCAATTAACGCATTCATATTCCTAGTTTTCACTGTCCTTAAGGATTAGTACTGGAAACATGATGAAAAGGAGTGCATTACAAATCCCTCTTGTGTATATAAGATTAAAAAATCATAAATATTAACACATTAACACATACTATTTACAACTGTGCCAAAACACACAGATTCGTTACATCATTGATATTTCCAAATAGAGGGTGAAATTTTGGAAAGTGTAAAATACAACAAATTATCTGAATAAGTACATATGACAAAACTAACTAAAATAACTCTTGCATTTTAAAATTGTTTTATGAGTTTGAGCATATTGCAAGCTATTTGCTGAAAAACTGTATATGAAATCTGTGACGCTTGCCTTGAAACCACTGTTTCTTCTGCCACAGAATAACAGCATTATATATTTTTCGACCATATCTATTAGCACCATTACTATTTTTCCTATTTGTACAGTGAGCTACTCTTTTCTTCCAAAGCTAGTAAAATATATAAAATTGTGAGGCAGTGGTAGATGCTTTTTACAAGCAAGTTGAGGTGTAGTTTGTATGTGAGATTTATAAAAGAAGGTAACGGGAAGATAAAATGTATCATTCTCTGAACAGGGCAAATCACATGGCCAATAGCTAAACCAAATTGTATCTGGGGCTTTACCTAATTTATGCAGGACTTTACCTAATAATAATAAAAAGTATGAGCAACCTTTTTCTGCATTCCCACAACAGCAACAAAACAGTGGTACAAAGAAAGAGCCAAATGTGATTTTTAACCTCTTTTTACATAAAATCATAAAAAAGCATAAAAGCTGGATTAACTGCCTCCCGAACCCACATATCACCAGCCGGGTTCTCATCCCCAGCTGGCAAAACTGGCAACTCTTTATTTTTGTTTAAATACCTGGTTTTCAGCCAGCCAGACAAGCAAGAGCATCAAAAGGGTTTCATTTAGGCAAAAGGCAAACAGCCTGAAAATAGTGTAAATAAAGCAAAATGCATCTCAACTTATTTTAATATAAATGTAATAAAATTGTGCATAATGCATTCACAGTAAATGCACACAATTATTTTCTTTAAGTCATTTCTACTCCTCATGGTGCTAAGAAACTCCGGGATTTGTAGACTGTGACAAATCAATGGAAGCGCTGGAGTCCAGCAGCTCCTACAACCAAATCCACGCAATTAGGGCAGGCATGAGAACATGTCTATACGCGCTGCCCTAGCATTACCGAATCCTTTCCAAACAATTCCTACATTGGAGGGATTTAATTTTAATTACACTGAACATAGGTCAAGAAAGCTTCAGCTCAGTGCTAAAATGAACATGACACACAGCTGCAGGCTTTGTACCTATGAATAATTCAATCTTTTGCCTACCATGAGGTGGATACCCGCTTTTAGAAATGCCTCCTTAGGCTATGGGGACTGATACTGCTGTCCCTCCAGTATTTGTGGGGTACCCTCCTATATGTGGGGCACCTGCCTGAGCACCTGGCCAGCACAGACACAGTGGAAAGTCTCATCTTTTAGACTTTGTACGCTGCCCTTAAAAGCTGCCTCCACCACCTCCAGCCATTTCTTTCCCCCTGCATAAGGACCCACAAATCTGTCTTTAAGTGCATACACTGTCCTAACAACCCAGTGCCTTCAAGGTCACAGCAGGAAAGGCAGCAGGCCCACGAAAACCATCGCAAAGGGCACAAGCTCAACCACTCTGGTATCTGTTGTACAGTAATCTGTTAATATTTTCTAGGGGTATCACACAGAAGGATCACATGGAACCCATAAGCTACACTTAGAAAGAGCAGCTACACTGAGTACGTACTCCAGTCAGGTGCGTTTTCATGAAGTACAGACGAAATTACATGCTTTCTTCCACAAAATGTGCTTAAATAGTCAGATCATTCAGGTACATGACTTCCCTTACCTCATCTGCTCCACACAGGTGGCTGCCAAAATCTGCAGCCACCTTGTCGAGATCTAGGTGAGGTTTTAGGCAATGAGGGCTCCAGTGCGATGTGACTTCAGTGCACAGATAACATTTACAGTCACCCATCCCCATTTTACACCTCACACCATCACTGTACCCAAGTGACTTCCCAGTGCTAAGCAGGAGGTAGGCTGACTGCAGTTCAGTCTGGATGATACCACAGATTATGGGAAATAAAACTCAAAAAAACCCAACCTTCATTTTCATGACTTGAGGGAATCTTACTCCATCTTCGTTTAGGGCTCTAGTTCAACAACCGGTTCTTTCCGAGGCAGTGCCAGACTAACTCCCACTCTTGTTTCTGTTCCCTCACCACAGCTCCCCTCACCTTGTGTGGTTTTATGCAACACATCAAAGTTGACCAGTACTAAGAAAAAAAATGGAAAAAAGTTTCCCCCTGGGTTATTTTTCACCTGAATGGAGTTTTCTGACCTAAGCTTCTCCATGCCACGTGAACAGCTGTCGTAGCAGCAGTGAGCACACCGAGGCAGGCAGTGTCAGATGTGGCACTGCTGCAAAAAGCAATGCCTGTCAAACTCTGCCCCAAAGTTACTGCCCCTAACAGCGTAGGAGTCACACGGCCTCTGCCAGTTCTTGCTGCACACACAGGCAGCTCCAACAGCCGTGCTTTTAAGGGGAAGATTAAGGGCCTGATGCTCTTCCCAACTGGTATTTCTCCAGAGCACTCCAACAGTGTAACAGGGCTCCACAGCGGGCACAAACTCATTGCTGCACTGAAAATGCTGCAATTTGCACAGGCATTGATGCTCCTCTAGAACTACACCTACACCTGCAACACCAGGACACAGCCTGGGTTGATATGGCCTCAATGGCCTCAAGTTGCGTCAGGGGAGGTTCAGATTTGATATTCAGAAAAATTTCTTTACTGAAAGAGTGGTCAGGCATTGGAACAGGCTGCCCAAGGAGGGGGGGGAGGCAC